TAAATGCGACATTTTCACTGCTGACACAAGTTGGCTTTGCCAGAGCAGCGTCGCTAGAGGAGAGGAGATGGCTGGGGGACAAACATAACGATGGAGGAGGGCAAAGTGTCTGCGGTCGACGCAAACCCAAGAGATGGAGCAATGAAATGAGCTCAATTGCAGGACCGTGAGAGATGGCGGTACTCATTATGGCTGATGATGATGTTGATGAAGAATTTTAGAAACAAAAATTTAGTGTATTTGGCTGCTATAAATGTCCACGTGATAAGAGTTGAGCTATCATTTGTGTTGGCCAGGTCGCGTCAGTAAAATAAGCGAATAGCTCAGTGGGCTTTACCTGGGAAAATAAAAAAATAGTTTAGATGTATTTGTTTATATTTCATAGATGCCCCTGGTGAACATCTGTAAAACAAAGCTTCATAGCTCATCGGACTTCTCCAGGATAAATAAAGATTCTGATTTTGATTTGATTCAAACTGGGTCATTATGAACACTGCAAAAATATAATCGTAGCTGTATTTGTTAGAATCATATCGTAATATTAGTGGTTCATGCAAATATAACAATAAAAAAACTATGATCGTCTTTGATAGGCAATTCACCACAGAGTGTCACAGTCGTCCCCCTATCGTTAGTTTGAAACTTGTCAATGGATTATTCCACAGCAAGGGCATCCACACAAACCCTTGGGCAATGAAGCGTGGATGGAATGTTCCACTTCTGTGTGCGGGTGACATGTGAATAGTCACTGGGTTATATTAGCATATATTATACATGTAGTTAACATCGACCTCATATGACCCTGCTAAAATGAAGAAGCTGATTGACTCCCGCATAGTATAACCTGGCCCTCTGCTGAATATCTCCAATCGCCGATAAACACTTTTCCATCAAACTCGTTTTAGTAAAGCCATTTTAGAATCATGAGTCGATTTCGATTTAAAGCTTTCGTGACTGTAGGGATTCATCTTCTTGGTTCTTTCGGTAAAGTTACGTGACTTTACCGAAAGAACCAAGAAGATGAATCGTGAGTCGGTTAGATTAAAGCATATGTTATTGGTGTTTCTGAATTTTCTTATGCAGTATTAGAGGGTGATTTCTTGATATTTAGAATTGATAGGAATTATATGGGACATATGCCAATACTACAATTTATATCACTCGGGGCATGCACATTTCACAACGATATAATAAGTGGGAATATTACAATGCTAAAGTGCTGTTAAATAAAACAGTAGTTTGTCTTAATTATATAAAACACAATGGGATTTCCCCCCAAAAATTGTCGACCAATAATTATTTGTCTTCCTATTTTGATTAAAATTTTTCACTGTTGATCAAGCTTTCGTTTTGACAAATTTGGCAAGCGTTGTTTTTTTTTTAAAGAAAGTCATCAATGGAAGGTCAATCGGGTTTTAAGAGTGGTGATTAAACATTACTGCTCAATTAATTTAAATATTTCATATACAGGCTGCATGCATACCAAATGTGGGAGTGTAAGTGTAATTAAAAAATAAGATGACAGATGTGCTTTAATATCAAGCATGTCGAACAATGCATTGGGCGCAAACATTGCTTGTGTAGTGATCCACTCAGAGACACGAGGATTAGGAGGCACTCTATTTATTGCAGCCTTCACAGGATACAGGGGTAACTACACTTCAGTCAGGACAGCCAACAGACTGCGTGACTAACAACGCCGAGAAGGTGAACACGGTGACGAAGACTCCAGCAGCCCGACGGGATCCCACTCCAGACAACAGCCCCGAACCTTTGCCCGGGGTCTCCTTTTATCCTCCCAGCGTAGCCTCTATCACCTTTCCGCTACATCCCTCTCTCTGGCTTGTCACGTGACCTGCTGACAGGCAGGGCTGCTGCAACCGCAGATCCCCTTTTCTGCCAGCAAGCGGCGCTATGCTCCATAGTGACCCATTCCATGTCACTACACTTGTAAAGTAACCTTATACATCACGTGAGTAATCTGTATAATCGCATGCAGCCTTTTGCACACGCTAACCGACACACAAGGGGAAAGCGCTTAATTTTGAAGCGATGGAGAAGAAAGGGGCTTGCGAGGAGGAGAAGGAGTAGGAACGGGGTGGCTGGGTTCTATCGCTTCTGGCGAGATTGGCATTAAACACCGTTCCTATAACCATGATGGCTACCTTACAAACTCCTCAGAAGTGCTGCAATGGATTACTCTGCCATCACCCTTTGTACCTAGACTTCTGTAGCAGCTGTGGTGAAGCTGTTGGCTTCATGTCGCGGTAGGTGCTGGTTTCGTGACGAGTGTATGTACAATTGTATCCGCCCATTGCTCTCCATGCTTGATAAGAATTGATACGTATGCCGCCGTATATCGCGTAAGTATTCTCAATACTATTAACACACTTTTATTTTGAGCTTTCTGTACACGTCTGTATTCTGTGAGTAACAAAACATTATTAACTGTATACTTGAGAGGCTTTCAAGGGCAATATCTTCCATTGACAATTCGGTATAGGTGGATGTAAATAATGCTTTCACGTGGAAATTAATGAGCTACATTTGAGATAGTGTCAGGTTCGTCTGTGCTTGTGGAACCCTTTCTTTTGTGAACATCAATCAGGAATTATCACACGATTAGGCATAATTTCGCTTGGCTTCCTTTGGACACGAGAAGCACGAATATCTACCCGAATGCTAATTGATATATTTGTGAATCTAAATCGGTGTGTTCTGAATGAGCATTTGGCGCAGCGCTTATTGCCATCAGCATCGCAAACACCGCATTGCCATTGCATGGACCATTAATCATCTACGTAGCATTACTTATTTTACATGCGCTATAAACCACTCCCCTTTGCTAATTCATTGCTGGATGAAAACCTCCCTATGGAACGTCAGCTCTGGGGTTAGTTTGACCATACTTGACTATGGTGACGTCAGCCCAGGGGGTTGTTGGATCATACTTGACTATGGTGACGTCACCTCTGGGGGTTGTTTGACCATACTTGACTATGGTGACGTCAGCTCCACGACACAATGTCAACCGAGAGGATGGGTTCAAACTCAGCAATCATTGGAAAGATGTCATCAACCACTTTGGGTCATGACTTGTGTTCTTTCTTGTTAAGGGAGCACAGGTCAAGGCATTACTTGATTTGTGTTTTCTTGTTACCTTACCCCAGGGCACATATGCCCCATGTTCCATGCCATCGCCGGAGCGCTTGTGCGACGCCTACTTTTTTGAAGCCTTGAAAAGCGGTCGCCTTCTGTGACCTTCACCCTCTTTCCTCCTGCAGACGATCGCTTGTGTTGTGATGGAAACGTCGTGGTTTTTGTTTTATTTTGATGAAATTTTTATTATTTTTATTTGCTTTATTTTTATATCTACGTGACTTTACCGAAAGAACCAAAGATTATGGCATCATTCAGTTGCTTTGATCCAATGGCATGTCGTGTTTCGTCTAATTTTGGGCCATTGCATTATAATGGTGCATTGGGTGGTAGGGGGGTATGAATAATAGGACATCATTTTGAATTTATATTCTGTATCTGAAAAGTGAGCCAGTTTGCCAAACAATATAATTGCTGTTTAATTCAACAATGTCAGTGCCAAGTTTTAGTCAATGCCAGTTCTAGTCTAAGTGTAGCAACATCGCTAGATGTCACCATCCTGTGGGTGTAGTACCAGCCCTAGAGGGGCACGGTGTGCGTGGAGGAACATCGCTGGATGTCACCACGTTGGAAGTGCAGTGCCGGCCCTACAGGACACGGTGTGTGGGTGCCGACCCTAGGGGAAGGTTTATGAGGCCATGCACTCTGGTTGACCCGGGAGGACACGTGACCGGTTGAGATGACAGGGGGGCCCCCCAAGAGGGGGCTAGGAGGGTCACGTGATTGGGACCCAGGTCCTTCCCGATGGTTCTGGAATCGGGACGTGACCAAGGGCGGAGCCGGCCACGCTACAGAGAATAGAAGTCGGGTCCCGAGAAGGACCGGGGTTGTTGTTCATCCTGGGAATAGAAACCCTTCGTCTACGATCTACGCCCTACGAGTCTTCCAGCACGTGGACCTGGGCAGATGCTGTTGGTCCCGTGTCCGTAGTTACAGTTACGTGGTAACTAGTGTAGTAACTAGTGTAGTAACTAGTGTAGTAACTAGTGTAGTTAGCCGGATGGTCACCACCCTAGGTTGTTGTTGTGTTAAGGGGAAAGTTTACCCCGTGTGTTGGAACTAAATCAATGCGCTGCCTCCAAGTCTAAGTCTGCGACTCAGTTGAACCCACTACACACGTCATTGTCCACTGCCCTTAAACCCAGCTCTTCATTCCGACCAATCAACACACAAGTGCAATGAATGGGCAATTCCATGAACGTATTTGACTATTTACTTCATGTCTCATTTGCATATTCTTCCACACGAGCAAAAGGTGCTGCTCCTGTAAATATTTTTTGGGGCAATTTTTCCTTTTTTTTTGCTTACGATTGGCTTCTCTGTTTGTATGGGTAGGTGACCGACTGCTGACAGCTCACCAAGTGGCGGAAGTCATCTGGTGGTGGGCTTTTCATTTCATTTTCCACATTCATTTTATCAACCCCTTAGAGGAACGACGTCGGTGGTGGCTATAATATCAGGTCAATCCTTGCTCGGATTTGAATTCACACATTTCATTCCCAATACAGTGTTTAGGAACTTCGATAAATTTACCCAAACCAAGGCTATTAAACATGCCTGTTGATTAAACCCACGTACAGCGAGCGCCCTTGCAGTGGCTTGCCATGTTAATTATCGCGCTCTAGAAGCTGTCGTTGGTATCGCTACGACAGCATTACGATCACACGACACCAAACGTTGAAACGACAATTCGCAAGCGCTGCGGTGCCACAACTCTGGCTCTGCCAGTAAGTGGGATATTCCTTTATGATAATCTGCCTTGGGGGGGTGATGGGGGGGATGGGGAATGAACCAACCAAAGAGCCGCGCAGTTTGCCTTATGAATATGTAGCAGTGGGTGGTGCATCACTGCTGCCGACTATCGGCTTAGCTCCCTCCGCCGCTGCCGCTTGCTGCCACCGCTGCTGCTGCTGCACAGCGAGAAGATAGCAAGAGGGCTCGGCGCGCGTGTGCGCACAATGGCTCGGCGAGGTGAGTGACCACGGCTCTCCTTTGATGTTGTTGGCGCGCCTGTTGTGATCTTTCGGCGTCGTGGTTTGTCGGCGAGGTGACCGGCTGAGTTGCGAGAGGGTTGCCGCTGCTCTTGACGCACCGCCGCTGCTGACAGCAACAGCAGCAGCTCCTGGCTGCGCGTATGGCGATGTTCGCATTGCCTCCGTGTGCTGTTGAGAGTGATGGTAAACGCGCGTGCGTGTGTGCGTGCATGTGTGTGTGTGTGCGTGCATGTGTGTGTGTGTGACCGCAGATGATGAATGGTGGTGGTGGTGTGTGCCGAATGTTTGTGTGCTGCTGCGGATGTATGCGTGTTGAACTTCTTTCGCACCGTACGTAGCCAACCGTGCTATTCGGAGGTGCTGATGATGTATGCATATACGTGGCTCTGGGTACTGGTGATGCATGTGTGTGTGTATGTGTCTTTGTTTTTTTGTGGATGATGCGTACACAGATTTGTGCGTGTGTTGTGCTGATGTGTTTCGGTGGTGTGTATGCGTGTTCATGATATGTGAGTTTTTGTAAATGTGTATTTATGTACGTGTTGAAGTGTGGTAATCTGTGTGTGTGTTTACTAGTATGTGTGTGTGTTTACCAGTATGTAGATGTGTGTGTGTGTGTTTACCAGTATGTAGATGTGTGTGTGTTTACTAGTGTGTATGTGTGTGTGTGCTGGTACTGTGGGGTATTGATGCAAAAAACCCTGGATATGATGACGTACTTGCGTATGATTTCCATTCATTTTTATAACCAAAGCATTTGTTTGGAAGATTTAAATACCGTACTGTTGCTGCTTTCTTTAAATGCAGTGAACGTGTTTCCGAAATACAGCATATCGTTTATAAACAATTCAACCATCTTCTTGCTGTCTGTAATGTATCCTTCTTGCATAATATGTTACTTGAACTCTTCGGTTTGTCGCAGCCAATATTCACAATCGATTCTTGGGTTCGGCCAGGGTCACGATCTGTCCACATTTGTGTCGTCAAGACCCTCCACCACCCCGACAGAGCCAAACGCATGCAACAAGCCACGCGTACAAGCGTGCACCAACAAACGCGTTGTCTCGCCGTATGAAGGACAACTGCATCTATCTTTGGTTCTTTCGGTAAAGTCACGTAGATAGAAAAATAAAAAAGTGAATAAAAATGTAATTTAAAAAATACTAATGCAGACTGTAGCCTGGTTCTAAATCGGAGTGTACTGGCAGTCTATAATGTAGACTGCAGCCTGGTTATTAAGTTTGATGAGTGTACTGACAGTCTATAATGTAGACTGTAGCCTGGTTATTAAGCTGGGTGAGTGTACTGGCAGTCTATAATGTAGACTGTAGCCTGGTTATTAAGCTGGGTGAGTGTACTGACAGTTTATAATGTAGCCTGGTTATTAAGCTAGGTGAGTGTACTGACAGTCTATAATGTAGCCTGTAGCCTGATTATTAAGCTGGGTGAGTGTACTGGCAGTCTATAATGTAGATTGACAACTGCATCGGTGACGAGGAGGGGAATAAAAATAACGACGGTGATGATGATAATCCTGAATAATAATAATAATAAACAACACCCGTACGTGGCATGTTCAGGAGTTTCTCCGAGTTATCGATGCCCCATGCACAGCAGCCGTCTCCGGCTGCTGCTGGTGGTGGTGGGTTGTGGAAATCGTCAATCGCCGCGTTCGCTGCGCTCTGAGCCCCGGGGCTCGGGACGTTCGCGATGTGAATGCGACACGAATGTGAATTCTTTGAACACATTAGCATCTTTACGTGGCAGAGTAAGTAATAATAATGATGTGCGTGTCTGTGTGTCTCTGTGTGTGTGTGTGCCATTGGCTGCGGATGTGGGGTTGCGGAATGCGCTTTGCTTTGGCTCGGCAAAGCCGGCAGCGTGCACGCCTGCGGTGATTGCATGCGCGTGTGTGTGTGCACGTGTGTGCATGCGTGTGTGTGTGCACGTGTGTGTGCATGCGTGTGTGTACACGTGTGTGTGCATGCGTGTGTGTACACGTGTGTGTGTACATGCTTGTGTGTGTACACGTGTGTGTGTGTACATGCTTGTGTGTGTGCACGTGTGTATGTGCATGCTTGTGTGTGTGTGCACGTGTGTGTGTGCACGCGTGTGCACGTGTGTGCACGTATGTGCGTGCGTGTGTGCACGTGTGTGTGCGTGCGTGTGTGCACGTGTGTGTGTACATGCGTGTGTGTGCACGTGTGTGTATGCGTGTGTGTGCACGTGTGTGCATGCGTATGTGAGTGTCCACGTGTGTGTGCATTCGTGTGTGCACGTATGTGCGTGCGTGTGTGCACGTGTGTGTGCATGCGTGTGTGCACGTGTGTGTGTACATGCGTGTGTGTGCACGTGTGTGTATGCGTGTGTGTACACGTGTGTGCATGCGTGTGTGTGTGTGTGCATTCGTGTGTGCACGTATGTGTGTGAGTGTGTGCACGTGTGTGCTTGCGTGTGTGTGTGTGCGAATGTGTGTGCATGCATGGGGAGCGGTGGTGTAGCGGTTAGCGCTACTCTGCGTATCGAAACTGTCGACCCAGGTTCGAATCCCGTTAATGACCAATACCAGTGACGATTATCTGAACCGGTCCTGGGCCTCCCCTAGGTCGACTCAGCCTCAAATGAGTACCTGGTGCAGTGTGTAGTAAACATCGTCACTGGGGAGACAAAGGCGACCGGGCGTGGTGCTAGCCATCCACCCCCTCGTGTACCGTGCCGGCCTTCATAGGTGCTGCTACTCGCTAACAACACTTGCCCCTACAGTCTGCTAAGGCTACACGGGGGGATCTTTCGTGTGTGAGTGTGACCAGGGGTCTGCGTTCCAGATTCTATTTAGTGAATTTGTCTCGTAGACGCTGGACAGACGGCAACACTCAACAGCGCAACCTCCTGAGGATAAATACAACAGCAATAAGCAAACCCGCGTGTCGCCCCCCCACCACCACCTCCTAGAGTGATGATGGGTGCGTTGATGGGGGTGTTGTCGCATGCGTTCAGTGGGGTGGGTTTATCTTCTTGGTTCTTTCGGTAAAGTCACGTAGAAGGGAAGTAATAAAATAATAAAAAATAAAACATATTACTTCCCTTCTACTTCCCTTCTATGTGACTTTACCGAAAGAACCAAGAAGATGAATCCCTGCAGTCACGAAAGCTTTAAATCGAAATGGGGTGGGTTTGTCGCCAACAGGACAGTGGCTTGTCGCGTTATCTCGTTATCGCTGCTTCACAAAAAAAAACCAGCGCAGGAGAATCGAGTGACCGGCAGAGTGGTCAGTACTCCAGTGTCGGAGGCATTCCATGCGAAAATAACGGCCCCGTTCGATGGAATGTTTCGCCGGTGCCGCGGAGATGTTCCCGAGACAAGAAACGCTGCCACGAGGTGCACGTGGGCCATGAAACCAGGCCAGGCGACCAGGCTCACGCTGAATCCCAACCTCGAATTAATATCCCGATGATGACCCATTACGTGAACACTGAGGTTCGAGTAGGAGGTAATAAAGCAAGTTGGTATTTCACCTGTGAGTGTGGCCTTTGTGATATCATCCTCTTGCGGTGTGTGTGTGTGCGGATTTTCTAATTTCCTCCAATGAGTAAAGTTGAATCGACGTAATACATTTGACAAACATCCCAAGCAAGGCAGTCCTGAAAATTAGTCTGGATACTCAGTGTGTGGTTTCATAGGTAGTACGGGATTATTTTTGACATTTACCGATCTCTTTTTGATATCTCGCCCCCTTTTGCGCTTTTGTTATGTTTCATGATGGTCAGTGCTGCTCGATCATGTATCCGCTGTTATATTCAGCCACACAGACACACTGCAATTGACAGCCTTTCTTGAGATTAAAGCCACAGCGAATGGGGTGGAGAATGTAGTTCAAGTGAGCAGATCACTCGCTCTTGAGCATGGACAGAGAGAAGGCATGGCAGTATTACTAACTCAGCTGAAAATGGACAATGTTTGGCTTAGCAGTTCAAAACAAATTGTTCAAAAATTGTTTAAGATACAATCATCACCATCGTGATCATCATATCTGGCCAAGTGCCATGCTGACTACAGTATTTGACTCACCATCAGATGTTCATGATTTCAGGATCAGTAAAATGACTACTTTCAGGTGTAAAGACAACAGTGGGTTGTACTCTAGGGAGCCTCACTGACCCCACCATGGAAATGTGGAATTTCCAATGTGGGCTGAGGACCGCCAATGGCGTTTGGAGTCGGCGCAATGCTCATCTGAGCAGAGATACACTTTGACTTTGAATTATAATTATCCGCCATTCTCAAGCCAATGTTGATTGAAGGCCACTACCTTGCTGACACCAATAACCAGATATTGCATTACATTCCTGCACAGCTGCAGTTTTGCTTTACGGCCCCGTGAACTGCCTCCCCTCTGTTCATCCTCTTGCACATGTAGAGGGGCTTGTGTTTTGTGTGTAGCAAATGGACACGTCCAGTAAGTGGCCTCTCTAAATTCTACAGCGCAGCTATAAACGTGAAGGGTACAGGAGAGAATGCCGCCATCCCATTACATCGGTTATTTGGTGATGGTGCTGTTGAACAGGACAACTCCCGTAAGGTCGAGAACAGCTCCATGCTTGGGAATAAATTATTTCAATGGGCAAATAATTTCCAGCCCAATGGCTTGCATTGCATTCAGAGTGAGCATGCCCCCTGCTCGAGCAAGCACTGAGGCAGCGCGCATATCACTTGGTTGCTCTAAATCAGGAGAGGACATTTCACCTTTCTATGGCCGAGGCCGGTGTCTGCATAGATAGGATGGCCACTGTTGATTACTCATGAAAACTGGTACGGATTTGAATTCACCTTGGATAGTCGTTTAGTGACTGGAGTTTGAAGCCAAGATGTCCTGATTTCGAGTTGAGCGATCTAAGCACAAAAGTACATAGCCCGATTTATTTCTTGTGAATCTCATATGTTGAAGCACCATTAACAGTCACTTGTGTTGCCAATTT